GGATCAATGGAAGAATGAGACTGGGGCATGACCACGTCCCACTGGGAGATGCTTTCTCTCTGGCAATTAAAAATAAAATCCCTGGGCCAGCCAGAGGGCATGATGGTTAAGGAGGTTGGATCCCACATGGGCAACTCTGTTGTTCGAGTCCTGGACCTAGCAGCTTGAAAAACACACCAGGCGCATGTGCATGTGTGTCCAAAATCCCAAGAGAAGAATGGAGAAGGGATTTTGGCTTGCTATCCGTTCTGAGGGGTGCTTACTAACTTTCTCTCTGGTGAGCACTCTCACCCTATAGCAAAACAAACAAAGAAACAAAAAATCCCTTTCATGAGAAGTGTTATTACCCTCAATTTACTGATCGCAAATGAGGACGAGAGGCATAACCCTGCCAGCCCGAGGGGTCACACTGCTGTGAAGCAGCCCAGTTGAGGGAAACAGGAACAGCTGACCTATCAATCTTCATTCATTCGTTCAGTAGCTATTTCCTGAGCTCCCAGCACGGATGCTGGGGGTCTGGAGGTCTCTCTCTGCCTTCGAGGCCTTCACATTTTGATTGAGTGAGAGAAACAAGTGGATGAATGAATGATCAAGAACACCACCGGAAATTGTAAAGCAGAGAATTAAAATGGGGCTGGGATGTGGTGGCTTCCAGTGGGGGAGAGGTGAGTTCTGGGTGGGGAAGGGGCCGGTCTTGCCAAGGGCCAGGGGAAGCTGCTCCCATCGCTGATGTGCGGCGAGCAAAGCTTAGCCGGGAAATTGAGCCCTCAGCATGCCTTCTCTGACCTGCGTTGAGCTTTCCCAAACCTCTGCATCCTCTCTTTCAAATATAATCACGAGGGCTGGCCCTGTAGCCTAGTGGTTAAGGGAGCTGGATCCCACATGGCCAGTCCTTGTTTGAATCCTGGCCTTGGTCGCTTGAAAAACACACCAGGGTGTGTGTGTACATGCCCCAAATCCTGACAGGATAGAGAAATGGAGAAGGGATTGCCACGTGATCATGCCCCACTGTTTTTTTTTTTTTCTCTCACTGTTTTTATCTCTCTCTGGCAAGCACACATACTTGCTAGTAAATAATAATGATGATAATAAAAAGATTAAGGACTGGGGCCAGCACGTGGCACAGTGGTTAAGGCACTGGACTCCCATATGGCCGACTGTGGTTCAAGTCCTGGACCTGGAGGCTTGAAACTGGTGCCGGGCGCATGTGTGTGCATTCCCAAAATCTAGAGAGGAGAATGGAGAAGGGATTTGTGGCGTGACCATCCCCCCGGGGGTGATTTCTCACTTTCTGTCTCTCTGTCTCTCCAGTGAACATGCATGCCTTATAGCAAAAATCTCTCAAAAATCAAAGAACAAAAACAAAAAGATGGAAGACTTTCAGCTTAGATGAGCAAGGCAGGCCCCCAGTAGGAAGGACAGAGGGGACGTTCCTGACTCTGGGCTGTCCAGACCGCCCAGGGTCACGTCAGCTCTCAGACTGGCATAAGCAAGCAGAGTGGGGACCAGGAGCCCAGTCCCACCTACATGTCCCAGCGAGGGCGGATCTATGAAAGGGACGTGGTACTTATTAATAGAAGCAGGATCCAGCCGGGAAACAGGCAGGGGCTTGGACAAGAGGGCCAAGGGGGGAGGAGCTTCCCAGTGGAGCTTCTCCACCTGAGTCTGTCAGAGTCCCCCACCTTCTGGCTCTGGGCTGGGCCCCTGCAGGGGGAATCCCCGGATCTAGGTCTGAGGATGGGATCAGCCAGCTGTGGGAGGGGCTAAGGGGCTCTGAAATGTAAGACCACACTGAATGCTGTTACTGTGGATGGGACTGCAATGACGCTTTTTTCCCACTTCTTCAACCCTGGGTGTGACTAATCCCCACTGGGGACACTCAGGGCTGAGTCAGAAAGTAGTGTGTGGGAGGAAGTGTAGAACATGCCTGGGAGCCAGAGAGACCTGGGTTCGAATCCCTGTTTATCAACGAGTGACTCACTGTCAGAGTTTCAGTTTCCGCAACTATAAAATGCAGGTGACATGCAGGTGTCCCGAGGGAGGTGAGGGGAGTGGGTGCTCAACTCACCCCAGGTGCTCAGCATCAGCTGCTCAGTGGCCACTCCATCCTCTCCTGCTGGGTGTCCCTTTGTAAATCCTGACCCCAAGGGGAGCTGCAAGAGCAGGGGCTGCATCCTCTGGTCTGCCCCCTCCTTCATCAGTGGTACTTGAGAGACACAGATGGAGAATGATGCTACCTGGGAGTTCTCCTCCTCTGTCCCTCTTGTCCAATTTCAATAGCTGGAAATGGGCCCAGAACGAGAACTCACAGGGTGGGACGGCCTCCCCTTATCTTGGAACCCATAGTTCTGCTGTCTTGAGGCCCCAGTCAGCCCATCCTGCCTCCTAACCCCAAATCCCGTCTTTATCAATGTGTGTCATTCATTCATTCAACAAATACTACTGACTGCCAGCTGCGCGCCAGGCCTGTGCTAGTGATCAGGTGGCCAGAGAGGCAGCAAAGCCTCTGACCAGCCCAGCCTGGCCCGTGAGCCAGTATCAGTCCTTGACCCTGGGCCTGCCCACTCAACACTATTCCATCAACAGTCCCAGTAGCCTGATTCTATCAGCTGCCCATTCCTTAGGGACATTGACTCAAAGGATCTAAATCAGCCAGGGTCACCTATAACCTCAGGCCACTGTTTAGGGTGGTCAGTCCTGAGGCCTGTCAGCTAGGCAGTGGCAGTGGGGCTTATTGAAGAGAGGTCCGGGGGCCAGCTGCTCGTGTGGGAGGTTAGGGTGGCTGGATCCCACATGGCCAACTGTGCAGTTCATTTCCGGGCTGGTGGCTTGAGAAACATGCCAGGCGTGTGTGTGTCTGTGCCCTAAATCCCCAAAGGAGGGAGAGGTAGAGAAGGGATTGTGTGTGACCATGCCACATTGGGGGGGTGCTTTCTCACTGTCTCTCTTTCTCTCTCTTTCTCCTCTCTCTGTCTCTCTCTGGCAAGTGCAAGCACCCTCTAGGAAAAAAATAAAGAGAGAGAGAGACATACAGGAAGAGGTGGGATCCCTCCCCCCCACCACCACTGGAGGCTGTCATGCCCTGGCCTGCCCACGGAGCCATGGCTGCCATCCTGGAGCCAGGAGGGAGCCGCCCGAACAGCCCAGCAGCACAGAGGGGTGGCCAGCCAGGAGCAGAACAGACACTGGGCCCTGGTGACATCATCGAGCTGCCAAAGGGCCTGATGTGGCATCTCTCCTCTGGGCTTCTCGTCACGTGAGATCCCACATGTCCTCTTGTTTAAGCCCACTGAGTCAGGTTTCTAGCTGGAAGCTTCTTTATTTTTTTAGTAAGTTTACTTCTTCATTTCCTCCATGACTAAGAGAGACAGAAATAGAGATAAGACAGAGACAGCACTCCCGACAGTCTCGAAGCCACAATCCCCACCCCCAGGCCCAGCCCATCCCGGGTCACGGGCTCGAGCATGCCAATGTGCTCAGTGTCCTTCAGGGGGCCTCCAGATGCAAACTGAACCTTCTTGTGTGGGCCAGCCTCGTGGGGCACTGTGATTTTTGTTGTTTTCAGAGAGATTTTTGCTACAGGGTGCATGTACTTACCAGAGACAGAGACAGGGAGAGAGGGGTAGTGAAAAATCACCCCCTGGGGAGGATAGCCATGCTGCAATCCTTTCTCCTCCTGGGATCTTGAGCACACATGCACACATTCTCAATGTGAGACTCAAGCCCCCAGCCCTGGGACTCGAACTGCAGTCAGTCACATGCGAGTCCAGCGCCTTCACCACCACGCCATGTGCTGGCCCCCGGCACCGTGTTTTACCATCAGACCACGAGCCGGCCTCAGCTGCATCTTCTCAGGAACAGGAACAGGGGGAGATGTGGGCAGCCTGAGACCTGGCCGTCCCCACTCTGAGCCCGAGGGTCCTCCGATACAGACAGGGCTACAATGTGGCTGCCAACTTCGATATTACAGAGGTGTCGCCATAAAACCACAGGAGCACTGGTGGGCACGTCGGAGTCACCAGTCCCTGGTGGTATGTTTTCAATAAATGGACAGTGAGTGTCAGAATCGGAGAGGCTGGGTGGGAAGAGAGGAATGTTTGAACTATTTGTCCTCTTGGTTTCTCTTGGGGGTGACTTCGGGTTTGGATATTCAAAGCAGCGGCAATTTTGTTGACATTTTAAAATGATTGACCATGTGCCAGGCACAGGGCTCAGAGCGCAGTCTACATTCATCGGATCTTACACTCGCACTATTTTGCTCTGCACTTTACATACATGGAGACAGATTCCCCAGGTAAGGCACGTGGTGAGTCAGTGGGGTAACTGGGATTTTTAAAAATTAGCTTTCTTGTCTTTCTTTGTTTTTCTTTCTTCTTTCTTTATGTAAGATTTTTGCCATAGGGTATGAGTACTCACCAGAGAGAGAGGGAAAAGAGGGAGAAGTGAGAAATCATACCCGGGGGGGAAGGTCACACCTTAACCCCTTCTCCTCTTGGGAGTTTGGGCATGCCTGCACACACGCCTGTCATAGTTTTCAGGCCACCAGGTCCAGGACTGGAATCACAGCTGGCCATGTGGGAGTCCAGCACCTTAACCACCACACCACCTGCTGGCCCCCTGGAATTTTAAAAGATGGATGTATATTTGTCAGAAAAGTTGTGACAAAAAAAAATAATTAATAGCAGTTTTATGTTCACAGCAGAACCGAGGGAAATAGGGAGTGCTCCCACCCACACAGCTTCCAACAGGGTCATTGTCCCCCACCACAGTGGGATATAGGACTGGGATTTGAACCCAGAGCCCATAGTTTATAATCCTTATTATGCTGCCTCCCATGAGCCACTGAGCATCAGGAAAACTACACAGAGGCGTGTCACAGGACGGGGAATGTGGGTGGCTCGGGTGCCTGGCCCCATTACTGAGCTAATCACACATGAATGACAGATTGTGGCTCCTTACATGAAAAAGTCAGGCTCCCCAGAGCAGCTCTGAGACAAGGATTCTTATGCAAGCCATTTATTGAAGGACTCTCCCCAGGGAAACCTGGGAGGCCACCAGGAGAACAGGCCAGGTCGTGGGTGAGACTAAGCAGAGAGGAGGCCCCAGGAGGTGTCTGGCCTCAGCACACTCCCAGGGCTCTGGGCTGTCGGAGCACTGAGATGGGCCTACACGGAGCAAGGGGACTGGCCCTTACAGCCTCCTGGTCTATATGCTCCCAGGAGCTGGGGCCCAGGGAGGTTCCTTTAGACACAGGCCCAGACAAAAGGATGTGAGCACTTGGTGGCTGATGCCTGGCTTTGCAGGTGGCGGGGTTGGGGGGACAGACGGGGATGAGGGGGTGCACTCTGGGGCCAGGAGAGAATCTGAAAGAAGCACCAACATCTGCTAGCACCTTGGCTTTTCCCAAGGTCCTGATCCACCCTCAGAGTGACAATGGCAGGTAACAGGGCAGGCTGGGATGCCCTCCCCTAAGGAGTGCTTTAACAACCAACTGGTGCAGGTGGGTGGGTACCGTGACAGGGATGTCAACGATCACGTGGAACTTCCGGCCTTCAGAACGCAGAGAAATGGGCAGGGGCACAGGGACCAATGGGCGGTCAGCATCCCGGTTTCTGACCCTGGCAGCTGGCCCGCCTGAGGTAGCGCCAGCTCTTCTGGTAGGTGCCCAGGTTGCGCTGCAGGCAGAAGGCCATCTCCTTGTCACAGGCGCACAGCTGCTGCTCACACCAGGTCCCGTGGCTGGCTGTGGGGGGAGGAGGAGGGAACTCAGTGTGGGGCTGGCGACCTCTGAAGGCAGATGGCCCCTGCTCAGTCCAGAGCCACCTGTTCCAGCGACTTTGATTCTAGCTGCGTGACCGTGAACACGCACCGCGACGTCCCAGTGTGCCATTTCCCCTGTATTTATTTATTTTTTTAAGATTTGCTATAGGGCCCTTGCACTCACCAGGGAGGAGAGTGAGAGAGGCAGAGAGAGTGAGAGAGAAAGGAAGTGTTCCCCCGGGGAATAGCCACACAGCAATCCCTTCTCCATTCTCCTCTTGGGATTTCGAGCACTCACACACACACACACGCCCAGCGTGCTTTTCAAGCCAACGGGTCTGGGACTCAGACGGCAAGGTAGGCCATGTGAGATCCAGCTGCCTTCACCACCACGCACTGGCTGGTCCCCTCCTTTACTTATTTATTCATCCTTTCACTGGGCAGCTATGGATCACCCACCACGCCGCACGTCCTGTGGGCAGGACTAGCAACAGCATCGCCGGGGAGGCAGGGTGAGAGCCACAGGAGTGAATGAGCAAACCGCTAAGCGCAAGCCGCGTTCCGAGGCTGGGAAGCAATGCCAGAGAGCTGTCAGACCAGAGATCTAAAGGGTCTCCTCTACGTGGAGAAAGCGGGGTCGGGGAGAAGGGGCATTCAGGGCAGATGGAGTTGCCCGTGCAAAGACTCCAGGCAGGAGGGATCCTGAGCAGAACTGCCTTGGGGCTGCAGGAAGCATTACAGGGAGAAGGCAAAGCCCGCAGCACACGATAACGCTGACTCTGCCTGCTGATACCATCACTAAGCTCCCAGCAACCCTGAGGAGCCTTTGTCTTTGCAGCCCTGAGGACCTGCTGTTTCTGCATGCTGGGGACCTGGCACAGAGCCAGGGCCAGCTGGCCTGGGTTCCCACCCTGGTCCGGTCCTGGTTCTGTCCTTTGCAACTGTGTGAACCTGGAAGAGGGTGTCCCTGGTGGTTCCGGTTTCCCTGTCTGTGCTATGGAGATCCTCAGGGTTCTGCTGCCTCTTTGCTGGCTGTCATGAGGAGCAGTAATGTGAAGGTCACAGCAGTCAGCCCGTGTAATTTATCAAGCATGTGTGCTGCGGCAAGCACCCCGAGAGGCTCGTTCTGCCTGTCTCACTTCAAATCCTGCAGTAACTTTATGGGGTAGGTACTGAAAGTCAGAGAGGCTAAGCAATGCTTCCTGACCCCGGAGCTGGGAGGTGGTGGGCCTGGCTTCCAGATCCCAAAGGGCAGACCACCACCACCCCACAGGGCTTCTCCAGAGTCCACGCACATTCCCACCCCTCATCCTCAGCCCGGCTACTGCTGCTAGGCACGCGAGGACACGCAGGCCCTGGCCCACGGAAGGGGCGAGTGCTGGGACTCCCACTCACAGCAGTGGATGTCGCCCTGGGAAAAGCTGTACTTGTAGAGGTCCGAATGGATCCGGCATTTGTGGGCCTTCAGGTAGGCGTAGCAGCAGTCGTGGGCATGGCAGCACCTGAAGGACAGCGCAGGGGTGAGGCAGGCGGTGCACGTGTCTGCCCTGGTCCCTGGCAGACTCGGGTCTCTGGCTGCCCAACCCCAGAGGAGACCCTGTGAGCTCCCACCCCTGGAAGGAGCTGAGGTCTGCAGGGCTCCAGCTTCCTGTGACAGTGCCGGCTAGCACTCACTGAGCACTTCCTGTGTGCCAAGCCCCTGCTTCATCCCTGCGGTCTTTCTTCCTTTTCATGACATCCCACAACGGAGGTGTTTGTATCATTCCCATTTCACAGTTGAGGGGCCTGACTCAGGGAGGCCACTCCACCTGCCCAAGGTCACACAACTCTATGTGGGAGATTGGGGAAGGGTCCTCAGGCCCAGCTGGCTCTCATCCCTCCTCCAGCTGAGCGCCAGGGGGTGTTGAGAAGATCAAATGAGAGAATGGCAAAATGAGGCGGGGCTCTGAGACAGTGCAGGGGCTGTGGGCGGGGCGCCCGAGGTGGGGCTCCAGAGGCGGGGCTTTGAGACAGTGCAGGGGCTGTGGGCGGGGCGCCCGAGGTGGGGCTCCAGAGGCGGGGCTTTGAGACAGTGCAGGGGCTGTGGGTGGGGCGCCTAGACTGGGGAGTGGGAGTGCAAGGGGAATTGGGCCCTCAGAGGCTGGGCGAGCACCTGGAGGCGGGGACTCTGTACTCAGCAGCGTCCTTAGCACACAGCAGAGGCAAGAAGAAATGGTGGGAGAGGAAAGGAGCATTCTGGGATGGGGGGCAGGATAGTGGCGCCACTCGGGGGCCTGAGTAGGGGATTACCAATCTGTGGCATCTTTGGGCTGGCCTCTGCCACCAAGTCCGCAGTGACAGCCGTAGGGCCAGTAGGACAAGATAGGCGTCTTCCCAGTCACTTGCTTGATCATCTTGTTCAGGTTCAGGATCCCACCCTGGGCTGGCGTCACACCTGCCAAGGAGCCAGCGGCAAAAGGAAATGACACCAGGCCACAGGGCAGGCACCTGTGCTGATGACAATAGAATATGACAATTATTATGGCTATTAAGAACACAGCGACTGAGGTAAGCAGGTGGCATGGTGGTTAAGGAGCTCGATTCCTCATGGCAGACGGCTTACTTTTCAAATCCTGGACCTGGTGGCTTGAAAGCCACCCTAGATGCGTGTGAGCGTATGCCTGAAATCCCGAAAGGAGGGGGAGATGGAGAAGGGATTATGGTGTGACCATGCTCCTTGGGGAGCGATTTCTCACTTTCCCTCTCCTTCTCTCACTGTCTCTCTCTGGTGAGCACAGGTGTCCTGTGGCGAATTAAAAAAGAACTAGCTAGATAATTAAATAAAAATGTAGTGACAGCCCCAGCTACGGTGGTGCACAGGTGGTGCTATGGTTTGCAGGGCCTAAGACCTCATGGATGCCTGGCCCACCTAAAGCATGCCGGGCCCGGTTGTGCACACTTGTAATCCCAGCTGACTGAGTGATGGGGCAAGAGGATTGTGGCAAAAATACCTACCTGTCTCTCCCTTTCTCTCTCTCTCCCTCACACACATCTAAAGGGAAAACATATACATTATATATATGTATATGTGTATATATATGTACATATACACACATACATTATGACAGTTATTGAGGTCTACTGGTGTATTATGACTCCACCCCATGAGATAAATACTATTTTCTTTCTTTTCTTTTTTTTTTTTTGTATTTTTTAATTTTACATACAACCATTGTATATCTTTGTGTGATACTTTATTTTTTAAAAGCATGTACACAGTGTGCAATAATTAAATCAGAGATATACACGTATTTATTACCTTCAACAGTGAACATTACTTTATATTGTGCATATTTAATGTTCATTCTACTAGTTACTTGGGGGGGATATATATTGTCAATGACATTTTATTCTTTGCTGAGATGTACCATTCCATAACCTATTCCATTTAGTATTTTCAAAATTAAGTAAGCCTGGGCCAGCAGGTGGTGTGGCAGTTAAGATGCTGGATTCTGACATGGTCAACCACAGTTCTAGTCCTGGACACAATGGCTTGACGATTATGCCAGTCATGTGTGCGTGCGTGCCCAAATTCCCAAGAGGAGAATGGAGAAGGGGTTGCAGCATGGCTGTCCTGTCCCCTCACCCCCACTGGGGGGCTGATTTCTTTCTTTCCCTCTCTCTCTCTCAGCCAAGCACGCATGTCCTACGGCCAAAAAAAAAAGAAAAGAAAAAGAAAAGTAACATTTTCATTTTGAGGTCATTCTGGATGTACAGAGGAGTTGCAAAAATAGTACAGTCCTATGTACCCGTCTAATCTCCTCTAACGCGACCATCTTGTGACTGTGGGACATTTGTTAAAGCAATGT